ATAAATAAATAAATAAATAAATAAATAAATAAAATATTGATGAAACTGATCCCCAAGCTGCCAGATGACCTCCTCCAGCAGCATAACACGGATGTTAAATAGCAAGGAGGAAAGAACCAACCCCTGCAATACTCCGCAAGAGAACATTCACTGTGTTCAATCTCTCCCACCTGACTGCCACCATTTGGAGGCAAAACAGTGCCTCCAATCCCCACAGATGGTCCAGAAGCATACCATGGTCTATGGTACTGAAGGTCCAAGAAGAGCTGGACAGGCACATTACTCCCATTCACACCTCAACATAGGTCATCAACCAGGGTGTCCAATGCTGTCTCTCTCATGCCCAGGCCTGAACCTTGGCTGATTTGGGTCCAGATAAATTATACTGCTGGTATGGTATAATGGGCAAAGTGTTGGATTGATACCCAAGAGATGCAGCCCTCAGTCCTGGAAGCTCACTAGGTGACTTTGCTGTCACTTTCTGTCAGCCCTACCTATCTTACAGGGAAAAATGGGAGGATGGAGCAATGTGTATGCTGCCTTTTGCTCCTCAATGAATGGCAGGATAAAACGCTAAGAATAAATAAATACAGGATTCACCCAATTAGAAAGGACCTGTACCAAGAAAATTCTGTTGAGAAACAACTTTTTTCTAGGGCAAGAACAAATAACAAGAGTTACCAATAACTAGCATTTTCAGTCCTAAAACACTTGAAAATGGCAATGCATTTTTTTAAAAAAAAGCCATCCTCTTACCTTTGTCAAGTATTCCACCTTTAAGTTATCCAACATCAAGTTCTTCTGAGAAAGCTCAATTTTTAGTAACTGGACATTATGCAGCAGTTCTTTCCTCTCAATAAGTTGCCTAGTAATTTTGATGGTACCTTCCCGATCTTCTGATGAGGAAATGTCATCAGTGGGTAAGGTTGTTTCCAAACTAATATCTTCTGATTCCAAAGAGCTGGATACATTTGCTTTCTTAGGATCCCTAGAGCTTTTCCTTGACATCTTCAGCAGCATGTAAAAATGTTCTCCTAAACATTCAGAGAGCTTAAAAAGTAAATGAAAAAAAAGAAAGCAAGCAGCGGTAAATGGAGCAGTTTTTAAAACAGCTTCATTTCACTGTGCAATAAGTAGAACATGGCAAGTATAAAATTCTGTCTAAAACTAGAATCTGGAGCTCCCAAGTTGGCACTCTGGGGCAGCTACACGCCTATGTCCACTTTCTTTGGTACCTAACAGTAACCTTTTTCCACTTAACATCTTTTTAATTTAAAAAGGGAGAAACTGATATCTTGCAAGCAGAATGCCAGTCACAACCTCGACCTCATCTTTTTCTTCCAAGAATGCCCCTGCCCCTCCAGCCAACTCCACAATTTTCTCAGTAAATAGCAATCATGGGCAGCTGCAAGCCAATATGGGTATTAGGAAGAACATACCCACCTTTCCTCATTACTTACACAATGGTCCCTTTCGCTACACTATTTGAGTCAAACCAAGTTCCAACAAGCACCATGTTCTGAGCGGTTCCTATGAACACCACCCTCTGATCCCTCCCTTTCAATCAGGTTAGTGACTGACTCAGCCTGTCACCCAAACCTGGTTTCAAATTAAAGTGAATTTTACTTATTAATCCACATATGTATGCCATCTATTCCTTGAGACTATAGGCAGTTTGTGGTGTATAAAACCACAGCCTGTAAAGAACATAATAAAAAGCCCCAATTTGACAGCGTTACTGTTTAGATACTGTGGTTATAAGCCATCTTCTTACCCAACTCACAGAGTTTAGGGTTAAATGTGACATTGTGGGTACAGGAATTACAGTCAAAACCACAAATCAATTCAGTCTTTATCATGGCCACAAACTAGTGTTAAACCTCAGTTTTGTGGACCCCCCCCCCCCCGCACAGTTCAGATGCAATGGAGAAACCTGCTGCTTCCAAACCAACTGCACCATTGGCAAATTTGGGTCAGATTTAGGTAATTTGTCAATGTCACCATTTGCCTAAAGTCAGAGACGGGCACCACGCACGTCCATTGCACTAAATCCGGATTTAACGGACACACTCCCCCGGTCCGTTAAATGGGGCTCTTCCGGCCCAGCGGCGTCACGGAGGCAGCCGGGGAAATTTTCTCTTCCTGTCCGGCCTGAGCTTACCTACTCGACTTCTGAGCCCCGGCGGTGCGGGGCAACCCTGCTAATCGGCCCGGCCCGCGAGCGACGGCCTGCGGAACTCCCTTCCGCTCACCCTGGGAGGGGGAAGAAAAGCCCCCCGCTGCCCGGCGACACCCGGCGCACGGACTGCGCAGGC